CGGGGAAGCGGCCGCGCAGGTGCCTGCCCTCTGCGCCTGCGCCCTTCACGCCCCACCTCGCCAGGTGCGTCGTGCCTCCGCCTCGCTCCGCCACGGTGCGTAGGTGCTGCCAGGCGTCCGCCATTCGCTTTTGCGCCCACCGAGCGATTGGGCGTGCCCAAATTCTGGATGGTGGGAGAGCCGCAGGGCGTCTCCGGGGGCTAGGGGGGGTAAGCGCGGCGGAGAAGGCAGTGTCCGCACCGCGAAGGTCCGAGAAAGCGTCTTCCCGGAACCTTGGGCGGGAGCGCCAGAGCGGCACCTCGCGGACCCTCGGCGAGCCCCCCGCACCTGAACTGCGCGTGCGCGGCCAGGGTCTTTCCGCCCCTGATCGCGAGACCCCAACAGCCGGCGGCTCGACGACTCGCTGGGCAGTCGGTGAAGCCGGTCATGGCGCCCCTGTGTGGGCCGAGGTGGTGCCGGGCGCTCCTTGCCCTGCTGGGCTCGCTGCTCCTCTCCGGGGCTGAGGCAGCCGACCGAGAAGGTGACATCCACGGTGAGGGCCCGGGCAGCAGCTGAAGGCGGGGTGTGAAAGCGGAGAGACTGGGGGCAAATTGGAATTCGAGGGGCGCTGAGCAAGGTCTGAGCGGGGAGAAAATTGGGGGAGACTTGGTGAGGTTCAGGGGTGTGGTGGCGCCAGCCCTGGGGGAGAAGCTTTGAGAAGAGGTTTGGGAGCCCTTGAGAGTGGGGATGAGCGGAGGAGGAAGGGTTGGAAAAGTATTCTTTGGGGTGGTGGAGGAGACTGGGGGTATTGACCGAGAAGGAGTGGCATAGGAAGCAAGCGAGAAGCTCAGCCAGCCTCTTCCTGGTAGAGGAAAGTCCTATGCCAAGGAAGGCTCACGGAGGGCAGGCCTGAGAGGGTGGGGATTGGATCAGGTTGGTCGTCTGGCAAGGTCCCAGCAGTGGTGAGTACTGGCTTCCGAGAAGCCTTTTAGCTCAGTCGCAGTAGAGTGTGTCCCCAGTACTTCACTGATATCTAAGGAAGGGAAAGCAAAGAAGCGGAAGTGCTGGAGGGGAGAAAGCTTTGCCAGGGTGCAAGACAGTACTGGGATTGAAAAGCTGGGGGTTGATTGGACTGAAAACCAAAAAACCAAACCCGTTGCCGTCGAGTCGATTCCGACTCATAGCGACCCTAGAGGACAGAGGACAACTGCCCCATAGGGTTTCCAAGGAGCAGCGGGTGGATTCGAACTGCCGACCTTTTGGTTAGCAGCGAAGCTCTTAACCACTGCGCCACCAGGGCTTAGAAGTAAGGTTGGTGGGGGAGAGGTCTGACTTAAAGCAATACATTCTAAGGAAGTCTGAACTGAAAGATCTTTTGGTACAAGTGTTGTTATAACCCTCACTGCTTCAGACAAGCTCGAGTGGATTTTGCAGAGGGCTCTCTTGATAGAAGAATTCATTCAGCAGACCTTACCGAGCCCCTGTTAAGTGTCTGTACGGGTACTGGTGATAGTTGTGACCAGACAAGCCAGCCCCCTGCACGCACAGAGCTTATGTTCTGGTAGGAGAGACGGTGAGTAAACAGCTGAATAAAGAGCCCTTACCACAGTATCAAATCACTGAGAAGTAAACAAACAGGGTGAAGGGCATGAACGGGATGACGGAAGAAAGTGATGGGGATTACTTTAGCTCAGGTGTTCAGGGGAGGTCTCTGAGGATGGTGACATCAGAGCCCTAATGGGAAGGATGAGGAGAGGGCAGCCGCACAGACGTTGGTGCCCGCCGGCGTCCATTTGGAGGTGGTGGTGGTGGTGGTGGTTAGCAGCTGCTAGGGAGTCGGCCCCTGACTCACGGCAACCCCGTGTGTTACAGAGTAGAACTGTTGCATAAAGTTTTCTTGGCCGTAGTCTTTGTCATCTTAACCTTTATGTAGAAATCTTTGTAATTGTATACAGGCAGTCCCCAATTTATGACAGGGTTCCCTTCTGACAAGTTTGTTGTAAGTCGAATACCTTTTTTTTTTTTTTTTTTGAGTTTTCAGTATTATTGGCTTTTGTTATCAGTATCTTTATAAATCATACCATTGAACATCTACGAGTGAATGAGAGTAACATCAGCGAATTATGCGCTGCAACGTTTTATGTGGTTACACGCTACTAACGATAAGATGTACCAAAAAAGAAAAAAAAAAAACAAGACGGTCATAAGTGCGGTTTATTGTAATTCAAGTACGTCGTAGGTTGGGGACTATCTGTCTAAGCAGTTTGCCAGACATTTCTTGTGCAGAGCCACTGGGTGGGTTTGAACTACCAGTGTTTAGGTTAGCAGCCGATCACAAACTGCTTGTGCCACCCAGGTTCCTTCTAGTTGGAAGTAATAGAGTGTAGAGACAGAAATGAGCTTGGTGTATTCAAGGAAGAGACAGCCAGGGTGGCTGGGGCAGGAGGGAGGGAGGGGCGAATTGGGGAGGATGTGGTGGGAGAAGCAGGCAGGACCCAGATGGTGCAGGGCTCTATATGCCAGCATGTTGGGAGAAAAGAGAGAGAAACCAGGCTGCGTGTGCACCAAGTTATCAGCTGTGGTGACTTCTGGAGACTGGTTAATCTCCCCCTGCCCAAGGCAGGAAGCAAAAAACGAGCTAACAGGAATGCCTGGGGCCAGTGGGGAGAGGAACAGGAGTCAGGAGTGCAGGCGCTGGCCCATTTTTGCAATCCAGACCAGAATTTGCCAGCCCTTCTGGACTTTCAGAGGAAATAATTCTGTTAGGGATGTACTTTCCAGTAACTTGGCCTGTAACTGGGTTTTAGGTTAACGACTTGTTGCTTACTCTGCACTCATATGTGTTATTTAATCCTTGAAACAACCCGGGGCGGTGGTGACTTACAGGCCTTGCCTAAAGTCACCCAACAGGTGGGACTCAGCAAGGCCAGGTGCCACTGACTGCAGAGGCGTCTCTGTTTAGAATGGCTTTGTTTATCTCAGGAAGCAGGAAGCAAGCTATCCACCCTGGGCAGTGGTGTTTCTCCAGGCACACGCAGCTGCCCAGGTGCGCAGGATGAGAATGGGGGGGAGGGAGAAGCCAGCAGAGAAGGTACACAAAGGAGTGGTTAAATTGGCCGATTGTGGAATTTAAGGCTTGAGGGAGCAGAGGGGGCCATGAAAAGGCGGTAGGGCCGGTGGATTGTTGGAGCAAATTAACTAGAAAGAGAGAAGGTGATAGGCAGAGTGATTCACGAAACCAATACACTGAAGAGGCGGCGGTTATTGAGACAAGGTCAAGGTGTGACCTTGGGAGGGAGGGTGGCCAAGGCACTGGAAAAGAGGAAGCCAAGGCACCGAGAGACTGGGCGGACTGGGCGGACTGGGCGGTGGAAACCGCGAAGGATTAGGACAGACACAGCTTGAGCGGCAGTGAGCCGGGAGCTGAAGTCCGGGGAGTGACAGTGGTCTGAGTCAGTAGATGATGAACGAGGTGGAGTGGTGAATGACTGCCTGATGACATGAGGTCCATAGCTGGGGGCTTGGGGTCGGTAGAGGGGCAGGGAGACCACGTGGAAGGGCTTCTGGAGAAGGCATGCCCTGAGGCGAGAGCCAAGGTCCGTTTAGAAGGTGATAAGAAAGTTCAGAGAAGAGATTGAGGAAGTGAGTTCCAGAGCCCTCTGGGGCTGGGGGAGGGGAAATAGGACAAAACTGAGGTTGTCCAGGGGCATGTGGATGGGAAAGGTAACTCGGGAGTCTGGTGATTGAGGTAATAAGTGAGAAAAGGGAAAGGAAGTGTGGGAGGTGAGGTCAGTCCTGGGGGTTTCAAGGTAGACAGAGCCAGGGATGGTGAGGCTGTGTGTGGTGGGGACAGGTCGGGAGGGGTGTGGTGGTGTTTCCAGCATTCAGGGAGAGGTGCAGGCTGCCAAGGAAAAGCGTACAGAGATTATATAAACTTGTGGCCCCCAGGAAGGAGCCGTGGTGGCGCAGTGGTTAAGCGCTTGGCTGCTGACCCAAAAGTCGGCAGGTTCGAACTCACCAGCCACTCTTGTGTGAGGATTGCAGCCTTGGAAACCCTATGGGGAAGTTCTGCTCTGCCCTGTAGGGTTGCTATGAGAATCAACTTGACGGCAATGGAGTTTTTGGGGGTGGCCCCCCGGGACCTTCAAACAGGCTTTTTTGACTTGAACAGTTTCCAGAATTGGGAGTTTTTATACGGAAATGTGGATTTTTGGCTTTGCCTGTAAAATCTGAGGACCTGGCAACCTGTGTTCCTGTGTGGCAACCATGCGCAGGAGCCGAATGTCCCATCTTGGACAGGACATGCACTTCCCAGTTGTCCCCGACACCCCACTCTGGGCTCATTCACTGGTTGGCCTGACTCATTTCACTTCCCTGCCCACTCTGCATCTGTGGGCGTCTGCCTTGTAATCCTTTAAGAATGTAGTCTGTTTAGTAAAAGAAGGCTGATAACACGGAACAGCTCTTTGTAAGTTTACAGTGGGGTGTGTGTACATGTGTTATTGCTATTGGGGGAAAAAGCCTTATCAGGTGGCTGCAAATGCATGATTTTTTTAATCTCTTCCCCAGGTGAGGAGTCCTGGTATTTGGAGGGCCCTGGAGTATGTAATTGTGATCAATACAAGGCCAGATAATTTATTTCCTCTTGAGAATGCAAAAAAAAACCCATTGGTGTCAAGTCGATTCTGACTCACAGCGGCCCTAGAGGACAGAGTAGAACTGCCCCATAGGGTTTCCAAGGAGCAGCTGGTGGATTCAAACTGCCAACCTTTTGGTTAGCAGCTGAGCTGTTAACTACCGTGCCACCAGGGTTTCCAGGCACCATTTTAGACCCTGGAAAATAGAGCACGGGACAAAACGGGCCGTCCCTCCATAGTGGTTAAGCCGTGATGGGGGGAAGACAGTGCAGGAAGCAGATGAAATGTAAGTCTCGGTGACAAGCGCTGTGAAGAAGAAGGCAAGGCCTGGTGGGCCGAGGGCTTTGGGGCTCAAGTGGTGACAGTTCCTAAAGGATGTTGAGGTCCTTGGTGTTTGTGCCCCGAGGGAGAGCTGCCTTTTTCAACCACAAGCGTTCCTTTGCCCCAGCTCAGCCCCCCGGGTGGGGAAGCAAACCTCTCCTCTTTCACACCGCACACCCTCCCCCACCTGTGTCTCCTGTTACCTCCCTCCAGGGTCATTTGAACCCTCAGGCCTGTCTTAAGGACGATGGCCCGGCAGCCAGGCCTGAGGCTGACACTGGAGCCCTGGTGGCACAGTGGTGAAAGCAATGGACTGCTAACCGAAAGGTCGGTGGTTTGAAACCACCAGGTGCTTTGCGGGAGGAAGATGTGGCCGTCCGCTTCCGTAAAGATTGCAGCCTTGGAAACCCTACGGGACAGTTCTGCTCTGTCCTGTAGGGTCACTGTGAGTTGGAATCACCTGGACGGCAGTGGGTTTGGTTTGGGAGGCCGACCCAGGAGGCCAAGTAAGGGATAAGGCGGCCTGTGATTCATGTCGGGGGAAGACAGCCCCGCAGGGGTCGCCCTGAGTGACTTCACGAACCCCAGGCAGCCT